AGTAAATACCAAGTACAAAAATAATTACTCTATACATATCTATATTAATATAACACAGGATGAAACTGTTCCTTTACACAGGATGAAACTGTTTACGGAAAAATAATTTTCCGTAAAGTAAAATTACTCCAGAAAAAACAATGTTTAATAGGGAGCAAAGATATAAAACAGCTAGTAGCAGATTAAAGTAGCAAAGAATTAGGAGATGTAGAGGGTGGTGGGAATGTGGAGATCACTGCTGGAAGCAAAAAACATCAATGTATTTAAGAGGAACATGAGGGAACAAGGAATAGAGGGGTGGAGAAGGGGGGAATAGGAAAGGGGAGAGGCTCATGTTGAGTGTAAATACGAGCAAGGACGGGTTGGGCTGAATGTAATTTTCCTTGTCTTTTCCCCAGTTATTTATTGTACCTAGACATATCCTGTTAGGTATACCTGCCAATCCAAACGAGATTGATGCCGGCACACTTCAGCTCCTTTGAATCACCAAACTTTGACCTCCTGTTGCTAAAAATAGCTCATTCTCATCTCATAAAATTCACCCGCTGTTGCTTTCTCTCTCTCACACACACACACACACACAGTCATAATAGTTCTTCAGTACATTTTAGCTTCCTGTCAGGCCAAATCAAATCTATTAGGTGTAACTTCCCCTCTGCTGAAATCATTATTTCATCTCAGTGATTTCAAACGCTCACCATCAACAGTACCTCCACTTCTCCTTTGCTTTGCTCACTCAATTAACCCTGAATAACTTGACGATCTGTCTCCCTACATCCACAATCAGTCTGGTAGATAGATGTATATTCCACCTCTCTTCCTCACCTCCAATCCAAACTCCTGCACAGTTTCTTCATAATAATAGTAATCCTTGCATTTGATACAGCGCCTCACCACGTCTTCGAAACGTCTCAAAGCGCTTCACAGAATACACTGTAAAGTGAATCGATTGTATAGTTGTGGATAAAACGCGGCAGCCAATTGCGCTCAGCAGCGTCCCACAAACAGTCGTGGATTGAGTGGCCAAATTATTGTTAGTTTTTGTTTATTTTTTGAACGGTTTATTACCCTCAGGAAAGCAATCCCCAGTCGACTAACAGTCAAATAACAACCTGCTTACTGCTATTGAACAGAGGCGTGTGGAGGAAGCAAACTTGCCCGATGTTCGCCCTGCCCAGGAATCGAACCCAGGTCCTCTCGCTTGTGAGGCGTACTCTAACCACTGAGCTACAGGACTCCACATCACTGGTTCATTCTGTTCTTTCGCTACGAATGCATCTTGTAGAAAATCCATGCCAGGCAGGCACTGCAAATCTGACGAATGTGCTGAGATATATATATTTTTAAATATTGCTTTTTCTGCTCCTCTTTTTATCACCACCCTCTCTCTCTCTCTCTCTCTCTCTCTCCCACTGAAAATTTCACGCCTCTCTCTCTCTCTTTCTCTTCACTTCCAGCTCATGAGCAATTTGTCATAATTACAGAGGGAGAGCTATGGGAAACTGAGGCAGCCTTCAAAATGGCGTTCAGCAAATAATGTTACTTTACCAAGTGATGGTGTCGCCCATTAAATACCAAATTAACTCTTCCAAAACCATCCTCAAAGATCAATAACAACTGCTCCTAAAACGACCATCAGAACGACATTGTTGCGGAAAGTCCCAGCCTCGTTCATTTTAAGGATTTCTGAGCGTCATTCAATGGTTGGATTCTATCTTCCAAACAATCAAAAGTAAAAATATTCTGTCACAAATTGCTTCACGGTAATCATTTGGCCTAGTTTTGTTGACGCTTTCTGTGGCGAGAAAACATTCAATCATTTTCAGCCTTCACCTACTATTATTCTGATAACATTAAACCTCAAACATGCATCCAAGGCACCGGATGTCATGTTACATAACTGATTAGCTAAACGTACCGCCAGATATCAGTTCCCACAATATAAGATTAACCTACAACATAGTATTTCGGATAGTTGTTTCAAAAGATATTGCAAAGCTCCTATTCGGCTATCCTGACATAGAACTAATGCCAATTTCTGTGCAGAAGATCAAAGAATTGTCCTCATAATGTACTTAATGAAATCTCACAATCCCTTTGCACCACTTCAGGATGTTACACAACAGGCTATCAGAATAAACTCCCTCCAGAGGGATGCCGTACTAGAGAAGTGCTTGTGATGACACTAAGTTAGGGGAAATGGGGAATCAGTGGAGGCAGCCTAGGACTCATAATAAAAAGCTTCACAGTTATCCACCTCGGCTGAACATTGGCAAATTAACTTCAATAAATATAAATGCAAGGTACTGCAAGTAGAAATTGAATAAAAATACAATAGATTATAACAGAACAGATGATGAATACAGATATAATAATAATAATAATCCTGGAATTTGATCACATCATCGAGATGTCTCAGAATACACTGTGAAGTGTAGTGACTGTGTATTTTGTGGGTGAAACTCGCTCACAGATATAATGGATTTTTCACCTCTGAAAGACACAGTCACTACACATCACAGTAAAATCATGTGAAGCGTTTTTGAGACGTTTTGGCGACTTGACAAGGTACAATATTGAATGCAAAGATTATCAAATGCAGGGATTGTGAATTGAAAGTAGCAGACACATATAATGAGATAGAGCGTGCCAGAGGGGAGTCTGAAGATGACCTATAGGGGGTTGAGTTGACTTGTCACTCAACCTGTCAAAACAGAGCAAGGCAGCAATAAACAAGTCGCTGGGTTATTTGCTAAATTAATCAGGTTCAGAGCTGGAGATCACGCTGAACCTAAACAGTGTCAGGTGGCACCTACAGTACTGTACACATTCCTTATCTCTACACAGGCAATCTTCCTGCCCTCGATGCTGTGTTCGGAGAGCAATGAGGATGATCCCCAGTGTTAACAGCTGAGTCAGAAGGAGTGATCAGATAAGGTAAGGATCTACATTGAACAGAAACCTTGCATTTGATAATCTTTGCGTTTGATATAGTGCCTTGTCAAGTCGCTGAAGCATCTCGAAACTTTCACACGCTTTTACTGTAAAGTGTAGTGACCGTGTATTTGACAAGAGATCCATTATACCTGTCTATTCATCGTCTATTATGTTTCATTAAATTTTGAGAAGTCACTTCATAAAGGTAATAAGATGCTAAACGAACCTAAAACAATACTTTCAGATCCCAACAGGACAAGAGGACACGGGTTCAGAGATATGAAAAAGCAATTACAGGAGACGCCAGGACATATTTCTTTACATGGAGGGAACTTTATGACTGGAATGGGTTTCAGTGAAGGGTGAAAGAGTCTGCTACTCTGAAGTCATTTGAAACACAGCTTGGTGCTGTAATGGGAAGTGATAGGTTGAGTATTGTGGAAGGATGAGATCTAATGGGAAAAATGCTCTTCTCTTTTGATCTTTATTGTGATTCTGGATCGTGAAAGGAAACATGTGCAGGGCTATGGGGTAAGAGCGGGGGAGTGGGACTAGTTGGTAGTTCTTTCAAAGAGCTGGCACAGGCACGATGGGCCAAATGGCCTCCTTCTGTGCTGTATGATTCTATGATTCTAAGAGTCTGATGTACCTGGTACTGCAGATGTTGAGAGTAGGGCAGACTTCAAATCAGACAGCAAACCCCAGTCATTAAACTGAGCTAAGGTTAAACATAAAGTCCCATCACTCAGCTTTTTAAACCTCCCAATTTTTTTAATAACATCCTACGTCAACAAAAAAGGAAAATCTCTTGCAATGCAGTTTTTTTTAATTAACAAAGGCAGAAGAATAACTAACAGATCACATTTGGCATGTTTAAAAGTTCTAAGCTTTCAAGTTAACTTCAACCTTTTGTATATAAAAGCACTCATCCCTGGACATTGCTAATGTACTTTAATCATCTTATCCACTGGCCCTATGGAGGAGGCATTAATTCATCAGTTTTGAAAACTGTTATCAGTTGTATCAGTAGATTTTGTTCGAATAATTACTGTTAAAGGGTCCCATTGTCATCGGACTTCCATTAATTCCCTTGTCTGTTAGGTCATCCTGAAAGCTGCCTGTTGTTATCTATACAAATATAATCTTGTTGTTGTTGTATACTCACCCACAAAATATACAGTCACTACACTTTACAGTGTATCCTGAGAAGCACTTTGAGACATCTCAAAGATGTGATAAGGCGCTATACCAAATGCAAGGATTATTATTATTATTATTATTATTATATTGCAACTGGTGTTACACTGTAGTTTTAAAACCATTACATAACAGGTGGGAAATAAATTCTATTGCAGGAGTGACCAATATTCCAAATGCCATAAAAATATTCTCGCATCATAAATTGGACCAACTGATGATGCTTTCAAGACAGGATGGACTGAGATGGGGCAACAATGCAGTTTGTTTTTTTCAGAACAGACCACAGTTAGTTGAGCCACAGTGTGTAACATTTGGCGTTTAAACCCATCATAAATGCAAAACATGGTAAAGAATGGTTGGTTTTAAAAATATATCTATATATCTTGCTGCTGGGGAAGGGACATCGTGAGCAAGAGACTGCAACCCAGACAGTGTATGGTGTAATGTTCCCTGACCTGAGGGGTGGGGGAGGAGGAGAGGGATGGTGGGGGGTGGAAGGCTGTTGTTTTTTTTGGAAGAGCAATAAATATTTCTCGATCAATGGCAGATTGGAGGCTGTCACGTTACACTGACCAAGTTCCCTGAGCTATGTTTGCCCACAGCCTCCCTCCCTCCCTCCCTCCCTGACACATTCCCAGCCCATCGCATTAGCACAGGGTGTTAATCATTTAACCATCAGCAGAAGCAAAGCTACAGCATAGAACTGCACATCCCAACATCATCACATAGCAGAGCATTTCCATTACACACACACACACACAGTGCCTCGCCATCCCCGGCCCTGTCTGTGTCTGTGTCTGTGTCTGCAGCTGTGGACCAGCCACAAGCCCTCACTGGCACTGTGCCTCTGCCCATCCCCTTACCTTTCGAACACCAGGCGGGCCATGAAGATGCAGAAAGCCAGAGGGAGAGCCAGGTACAGGTCCTCGGCTTGGGGGAAGGTCGCCTCGTCTGTGCTCTTCAGATCTGCCCACGTAACGTTGTGGGGGAGCCAGAACCTTTCATTCCAGAACCAGGCGAGGATGCCTGCCATGTTCACTGGGTGCCTGTCTGCTCTCTGTGTGGGGGGGTGGGGGGGTTAGTGTCCCCACCTATTCCCTGTGAGAGCTGTTGGCCTGAGTGTGGTGTCACAGCTTAAGCCCAACAGCCCTTGTGAGCTCAGAGATGCTCTGTCTCTGGTCCTCTCCTCTGTGTCTCTATCTCTCAGTCTCTCTCTCTCTCTCTCTCACACACACACACAGCGAATGCCTCCAATGGACAGTGTCACACACACAGCCTCTGGTGTTGTGTACCGACTGATTGGCTCTCACAGCTGTCGCACACTCTCCACACTCGCAGCACAGAGCAGAGAGAGAGAGAGAGAGAGGAGAGAGCAGTTCAGGATGGTTTGCAGATTGCACATCCACCCCCAACACTGCTCCCAGCTCCACACACCTCAGTGCCAGGATCATCCCCAACTCACCAGCCAATGTGAGGCTGAGTAATGCTCAAGAAACCAGGCCAACCGACCCCCAGGCAGGTGGTAGTAATATTAATAATGATTGTAATAATAATCCTCGCATTTGATGCAGCGCCTCATCACCTCTTCGAGACGTCTCAAAGCCTGGGTGGCACGCGGCAGCCAACGGCGCACAGCAGCGTCCCACAAACAGTCGTGGCTTGAGCGACCAAATTATTATTATTTCTTTTCGAAGGGCTTATTGCCCCCCCCGCCCGGGAAAGCGATCCGCCATTCGACCAACAACCGGGTTCCTGGCTAAACAGTTTGATTCACTGGCTTCGCCTTTGCGCTTTCCTTGTTGAATGCCCCTTTTTTTTAAAAAAAAAAAAATTTGGAACATAGTTCTTTCTGCAAAATATCTGTGACGTAATAGCAGCACAAAAAAGGCAACACATCTCAAGTACAGGCTTTTCGAATTAATTGAAACCAAAGTAATAAATACAGTTCCCCATTTATGTGCCAAAGCCAAATGAGCATCTGACAGAATGAAATATACCAGTTAGCAATCAAAACTAAAGAGGGGCTTTTACACCTGATATGGGGACAGCTTTCAGTGCTGTATCTTTAATGTATGGTTTCCAAAGCCTTAACAGCTTTAGAAATGGTGCAAACTATATGCCTGGATCTATTAATGGGTGTTTTAATGAAATTATGGGGTGACATTGAAAGTGGATTGCCAAGAAAATCACATTATAAAGAAGATGAAGAATGGGTCAGGTGCGCAGTAGGACCTTCTATAATGTTGTCCAAATTGAACATTCACGTCTGTCCTGTTATGAAATAATAATAACGTCACTTAATCCAGGACTGTTTGTGGGACCGATGCTGCTATGTGCAATTGGCTGCCGCGTAATACACATAATACACATTGCCCACACAATACAGTCAATTCACTTTACAGCGTATCCTGTGAAGCGCTTTGAGACGTCTCAGCGACGTGATAAGGTGCTGTGTCAAATGCAAGGATTATTATTTGAATTATTAGCTATAACATACATTATATAATATGCACATATATAGGAATAACAAATAAGATGCACTGCATATAACACACACACACACACACACTATTGTGTACTGTTAATGCCATTTAATCAAAATGCAATACATTTTCAAGAAAATCTTTTGACTTTAATGGGTTATTTCAGAATGGAATAATGGAAACACACATTTTCTAATGTTTCCAGCTATGTGTGAACTATCCTCTTGGCTAAATGTCCTGCAATAAATATCATCAACCACTGATAGCATCCCACATCTTTCCCACCGATTGAAGAATATATTTGCGAAGTGGTTGCAATGACAGATCACTTTTTCAATTCCCAACAAGCTTCGGTTTCTCAGCTTTTAATCGCATTGTGTGGTTTTTTCTCTCTCCTCAAACTTCTAAGCATTTTGCATCATCTGTGCAAACATCTGTTACTGCTGTTTACTTAAACCATCTTATACTCACATCATATGCGGTCATTAGAATATAATAATAATAACAATCCTTGCCTTTGATGCAGCGCCCTATCGGGTCTTCGGGACGTCTCAAAGCGCTTCGCAGAAGGTACTGTACAATGCAGTGACTGTGTGATTTGTGGGCGCAACCGGGCAGCCAGTTGCGCACAGCTGCGTCCCCACAAACAGTGGTGGATCGCGCGACCAAACCATTATTATTTCACTTGCGATTCGAAGGGATTGTTGCCGGTTTCTCAACGTGACACAACGTTGATTTGTTTATAATAAACCGCGATGTTTTGTGTAACACTACTTACCGCTCCCTCCCTCCCTCCAGTGTGGTCACGTGGGAACGAACGGATGCCAACGCAAACCCACACCGGATGGACAACAACAACAATAATAATAATAATAAACCACCGCAGCATTTTTCTTTTTTTTTAAAAAAAATAAAGAAACACGATCTTAATCCAGGAACACAAAGCAGGAATACCCGATACCGAGGGGCTGTTCATCGGAATTTGGACGAACCCTAAGGTAAAGGAATCGACATGGTGTTTATTGTGGGGTTCCCCCACACCCCCACACCCCACAATGCGGTCGATCTTATCTATTTGATGCATTTCGATTCAAACCAAATCAGTGCCGGAGGGTCAGTCCGCGCTGACCGGGGGCTGGTGATGGCCGTCAGTGGGGCTCGGCCTCGGGATCGGGTCAGCGCTGCTCTGGGGGTCACTGGACATGATACGCTCCCGAGCTCTGTCACCCATAGCACTCACTGCCTGGAGAGCGCACACCGAGCCAGTGAGTGTGAGCGCACACCGAGCCAGTGAGTGTGAGCGCACACCGAGCCAGTGAGTGTGAGCGCACACCGAGCCAGTGAGTGTGAGCGCACACCGAGCCAGTGAGTGTGAGCGCACACCGAGCCAGTGAGTGTGAGCGCACACCGAGCCAGTGAGTGTGTGTGAGCGCACACTGAGCCAGTGAGTGTGTGTGAGCGCACACCGAGCCAGTGAGTGTGAGCGCACACCGAGCCAGTGAGTGTGTGTGAGCGCACACTGAGCCAGTGAGTGTGAGCGCACACCGAGCCAGTGAGTGAGTGTGAGCGCACACCGAGCCAGTGAGTGTGAGCGCACACCGAGCAGTGAGTGTGAGCGCACACCGAGCCAGTGAGTGTGAGCGCACACCGAGCCAGTGAGTGTGGAGGCACACCGAGCCAGTGAGTGTGAGCGCACACCGAGCCAGTGAGTGTGAGCGCACACCGAGCCAGTGAGTGTGAGCGCACACCGAGCCAGTGAGTGTGTGAGCGCACACCGAGCCAGTGAGTGTGAGCGCACACCGAGCCAGTGAGTGAGTGTGAGCGCACACCGAGCCAGTGAGTGTGAGCGCACACCGAGCCAGTGAGTGTGTGTGAGCGCACACCGAGCCAGTGAGTGTGAGCGCACACCGAGCCAGTGAGTGTGTGTGAGCGCACACCGAGCCAGTGAGTGTGAGCGCACACCGAGCCAGTGAGTGAGTGTGAGCGCACACCGAGCCAGTGAGTGAGTGTGAGCGCACACCGAGCCAGTGAGTGTGTGTGAGCGCACACTGAGCCAGTGAGTGTGAGCGCACACCGAGCCAGTGAGTGAGTGTGAGCGCACACCGAGCCAGTGAGTGTGAGCGCACACCGAGCCAGTGAGTGTGAGCGCACACCGAGCCAGTGAGTGTGAGCGCACACCGAGCCAGTGAGTGTGAGCGCACACCTGAGCCAGTGAGTGTGAGCGCACACCGAGCCAGTGAGTGTGAGCGCACACTGAGCCAGTGAGTGTGAGCGCACACTGAGCCAGTGAGTGTGAGCGCACACCGAGCCAGTGAGTGTGAGCGCACACCGAGCCAGTGAGTGTGAGCGCACACTGAGCCAGTGAGTGTGAGCGCACACCGAGCCAGTGAGTGTGAGCGCACACTGAGCCAGTGAGTGTGAGCGCACACTGAGCCAGTGAGTGTGAGCGCACACCGAGCCAGTGAGTGTGAGCGCACACTGAGCCAGTGAGTGTGAGCGCACACTGAGCCAGTGAGTGTGAGCGTACACCGAGCCAGTGAGTGTGAGCGCACACTGAGCCAGTGAGTGTGAGTGGGTGCCAGTCTACTCTACTGCTGACCATCACACACACAGACACACACACACACACACACACACAGTCACACACACACACAGTCACACACACAGTCACACACTCACACACACAGTCACACACTCACACACAGACACACACACACAGTCACACACTCACACACACACTCACACACACACACACACAGTGACACACACACAGTCACACACTCACACACACAGTGACACACAGACAGTCACACACACAGACAGTCACACACACACACAGTCACACACTCACAGTCACACACTCACACACACAGTGACACACACACACACACACAGTGACACACACAGTCACACACACACACACAGTGACACACTCACACACACAGTCACACACACACACACAGTGACACACTCACACACACAGTCACACACACAGTCACACACTCACACACACAGTGACACACAGTGACACACACAGTCACACTCACACGCAGTGACTCCCTCTCGGGGTCACGGTGTGGCAGTGGCTGTGGCAGTGTGTGGCAGTGAGTGCGCAGGCGCTGCCCGGGGGGGGGGTCAGTGACACACAGAGAGGGACAGAGGGGGAGAGAGAGAGAGAGAGAGAGCGGAGGGGGACAGAGGGACAGAGGGTCAGAGGGGGTCAGAGACACAGAGAGGGACAGAGGGACAGAGGGAGGGAGGGAGGGAGGGGTCCGGGGCCGAGTGATGGCGGCGGAGGCTCTCAGTGCGGCCCTGTGGCCCAACACCAGAGAGGCCTATCAGCTCCAACACGTCATCGGTCAGTGCCCGTGTGAGTGAGTGACTGTGTGTGACTGTGTGTGTGTGTGACTGTGTGTGAGTGTGTGACTGTGTGTGTGACTGTGTGTGAGTGTGTGTGAGTACTTGTATCCCTGTGTGTACTTGTGTTCCTGTGTGTACTTGTGTGTGTGACTGTGTGTGAGTGTGAGTGTGTGAGTGTGTGTGTGACTGTGTGTGAGTGTGTGTGTGTGCACTTGTGTGTACTTGTGTGTGTGTGTGTACTTGTGTGTGTGTATCTGTGTGTGCGTATCTGTGTGCGTATCTGTGTGTGCGCGCATATCTGTGTGCGTATCTGCGTGCGTGTGCATCTGTGTGCGTGCGCGCGTATCTGTATATGTGTGCGTGCGCGCGTACCTGTATGTGTGTGTGCGCGCGTATCTGTATATGTGTGCGTGCGCGCGTACCTGTATGTGTGCGCGCGTACCTGTATGTGTGTGTGTGCGCGCATATCTGTATGTGTGCGTGCGCGCGCGTACCTGTATGTGTGCGTGCGCGCGTATCTGTATGTGTGCGTGCGCGCGTACCTGTATGTGTGCGTGCGCGCGTATCTGTATGTGTGCGTGCGCGCGTACCTGTATGTGTGCGTGCGCGCGTATCTGTATGTGTGCGTGCGCGCGCGTACCTGTATGTGTGCGTGCGCGCGCGTACCTGTATGTGTGCGCGCGCGCGCGTACCTGTATGTGTGCATGCGCGCGTACCTGTATGTGTGCGTGCGCGCGCGTACCTGTATGTGTGTGTGCGCGCGTATCTGTATGTGTGCGTGCGCGCGTATCTGTATGTGTGTGCGCGCGCGTACCTGTATGTGTGCGTGCGCGCGCGTACCTGTATGTGCGCGTGCGCGCGTACCTGTATGTGTGCGCGCGCGCGTACCTGTATGTGCGCGTGCGCGCGTACCTGTGTGCGCGCGCGCGCTCTGGAGCGCTGCAGAGCCACAGGGATACCAGGCGGCCCATCCGTCCTAAACCGCGGTGCGGGTTGTGTGTGTGTGTGTGGTGACGTTTGCAGGTAGCGGTGCCACAGCCGTGGTGCAGGCGGCGTTCTGCACACCCAAGCAGGAGCGCGTGGCCATCAAACGGATAAACCTGGAGAAATGTCAGACCAGTATGGACGAGCTGCTGGTAAGCCTCTCCGGGATGTCTTATAATAATAATAATCCTCGCATTTGATATAGCGCTTTTCACACACGTCGGGAGGACGTCCCAAAGCGCTTCACAGGACGCACTGTAAAATGAATTGAGTGTATATTTGTGGGCGAACGCGGCAGCCAATGGCGCACAGCAATGTCCCACAAACAGTCGTAGATTGAAAATGACCAATTTATTATTGTTTTTGTTTTGGAGGGATTATTATTAGGCTCTGTGTGGAGTAAGGAAACTTGCCCAAGGTTTGGCCCTCTGCCTGGAATTGAACTCAGGTCTCTCACTCGCAAAGCGAGTGCTCTAACCACTGAGCTACAGGACTCCACTTGTCTGCCTACCGCTCGGAGGAGCGGCGGCGGCGGCTCCACCAAAAAAAACGCTGATTCTGCACTGGTCAATTTGTACGCGCCCGCGCCCGCCCGCCCGCGCGTTTTTTTTTTTCCTTTTTCTTTTGCTACACAAGAAAGTTCCATCTAAAATTTCAGGACGTCTCGAGAGGAGCTGCGACAGTCGGGGGATTTGGGGGGGAGATCAGGGAGCGTGGAAGGCAGGCAGGGAGGGAGGGAGGGAGGGAGGGTTGGTGGGAGGGTGGGTGCATGTCGATTAATAATAATAAATAACAATAATAACCCTTGCAGCCTTGCCTTTTGATGTTGTGGCTTTTAGTTCTTAAGATGCATCACCGAAGCTGGAAGAGTGAGAGTCTGTTTACCTCGTTCCCCCTCCCAAGTAATTTATCTCTGGTGCGAACAGCAGCAAAGGGATACAGAACCCGAGTAACCAGAGTACTCTATTTACCGTACTCTGTGTAAGATTAAGATATACAGAGCTATCTTCCATTTGTCATGAGCTTCTGCTTCCTATTGCTAATCCGAGTGGGAGGAATTACAGGCAACAGTGCTCTATAACAATAAATGTCCTCCCGAATAATAGCGCACAGTGAGCTGCTGAAATACTTAAGCAGTGAATCCTCTTTAAGAAACGAAACCGTTGCAAATAATTTCCAGTAAAATCAGCATTTATTTCTTTGTTTATGCATTTGCTGCAGGAGGGGTGTGGGGGTGAGGGGGGAGTGATGATTGTACCGCTTTGCCCAGTTGAGTCTGAAGGAGAAACAGAAGAGGTTGGTGGGCCAAGAGGTTACCGGGGCTCATTATGTAAATTTGAAACAAACCTAAATTCTGCTGAAAAGAGGATGTTAACGTAAGTAGTTTGTAACAATAAGAGTGCAGTGAAGTGAAGTTTGGCCCATTTGATCTCATCCTGTGTTTTTTTTAAAAAAAATAATATATAAATAAAAAAAATACATATTCTGCGCTGTTATTCCAAAACAGAAAGAAATTCAAGCAATGTGCCAGTGTAATCATCCCAACGTAGTGACCTATTACACATCGTTTGTGGTCAAGGAGGAACTGTGGCTGGGCATGAAGCTGCTAAGTGGAGGTAAGCAACATTTATTGTGTCCGGGAACATTCCTTGTATCTATATTTACAACTTTTCTAAATCAACTTGGACATCAGTGCAATTGAAATCCTGATCTCTATTTTACTTTTTAGTGGTAAAACCCTAACACGTTGAAATAAAAGCCGCACTGGCACTACCCCCCGATAAGTGTTTCAACTGAAGGAGTTGATGGTAATTAACTGGATGCCCTTGATATAACCAATGGAAGAGCAAATTCCTACCTGAGGAGGAGAGAGAAACCTGATTTGAGGCTTTAAGGCTATGTAGAGGATAAATCGAGGGTTTCAAATGCAAGACAAACTACCTGATTCTAGATAATGAGTGAGTGAGTGTGTGTTTCTGAACTGCAGAGTGAAGAGTAAATGCAGTATTGCATTGTCATGGAAATAAACTTCCAGGGCCTTGACTGATTCGATTCCGCTCAAGGTTGTGAATCTTATTGAATTGTGATCGATCTAAGGAAAAAAATAACCTAATGGAGGTGGCCGGGAGATGCTTTTACCTGCAAAAAAAAATCCAAAGGAAATTTTATATGATATAATATTCAAATACAAGGTAAACTGGTTTGAAATTGAATATTTAGGAACGTTTCAAGTTCACTCACACTCAAAACTCAGTGCTAAAATTGTAAAGAATATCCCGCAGTGTTACAGAGAAATCCAGTTGGTACAATGGTATATATTGTGTTCTTTGAAGGACTTCAGTGTCGTCAAGTGATTCTGTGCAACTCAACTCCCCACTGATTGAAGACTGACAAGCCAACACAAGCCACACTGATGAAACTGAACGCCTTTAGATGAACTGCGAACAGATTTTTCTCGAGTTTAAACAACGTGAGCCGATTCTCGGAAAGTAAACAATTGAAAACATCTTTCAATATTACTTCTCCCAAGAAAATTAGAGAACGTTTTCTCTAGTGCAAGGAGTGTTTCTGAAAACACGTTATAAAATTTCTCAGCCTTTTGTTGGTTAAAAGACAAAAGCATCGTAGTTGATCCAAACAATTCTCATTCACTAGAAAATTTTGAACTTAATTCCACTGAAGACACCCGATACATTGAACCACACTTTCACTTCCTTGTAAAGGTGAAACATACCTTTAGACAAGAAAACTTGAATTGCAATCACAAGAAAAATAGGAGTGATGAGTTACTGAAAATAGTGAGATGATACTGTAGTAAAGGATAAAGATGAGATTGACAACTGTTATGTAATCTGAATGAATGAACAGTAACAGCCCAGGTTTAGTTACTCACAGTAGCATTCTAGCAACAATCTTGGTATGCATCGACTTCTTATTTTTCCAATACGACAATCAGGTTATTGCAGGGTATACGTTAAGCTTTTGCTAAATCATGCTATGTTCCCTGCAGGATCAATGTTGGATATAATAAAATACAAAATTAGCAGGGGTGAACATAAGAACGGAGTGCTTGAAGAACCAATAATAGCAACTGTCCTAAAAGAGGCGCTTGAAGGTCTAGATTACTTGCACAAGAACGGACAGATCCACAGGTACAAACCCTGTTGAACAACAACTTACATTTATTATATAGCGCCTTTCACGTCCTGCAGAAATTGCTAATGTGTATTAATCTCGTATGGACATGTCAGTTTGGAAGTTGTAAATTCTTTTGCCATCTCCTTGCATTCCAGGGATCTGAAAGCTGGAAATATCCTTTTGGGTGAAGATGGTTCTATACAGATAGCAGGTACTCATCAACACAACGTAACAACACATCAATAACTAAACTAAGACGTGTGTCTAACTTATTGTATGCGATTGAATTGAACCAACTTTAACGAGAAAATAACTGAAGCTAAATGTAAAGCTTTACAAGTTTACATGAGAATTGTTAATGTAAGGGATTCCAGTTACCAGTCAAAGCCCAAAAATAAAATGAATGTGAAAAACTATTGTTAAATTCATATGATGTTAATGTCAGGAAATACGTGCTGTGAACATTCCTGCAAGATCACAGCTGCATGTTTTAACTCTCGCTCATCATTCTCATTCCTGTTGTCTGGCTGACACCTACTCTGATCTGCATTCCAGTTCACCTTCTACTAAGTGACACTTAATTGATTGTAAATGGGAAGAAAGGGGGACAGGGAATATATGGATAGAAGAAAACAAACCTGGAAACGTAAGAAAGGTCGCGCCTATTTACAATGACCAGATTTCGGTGAAAACAATGATACTCTTCAGGATCGTCAGTCTGAGCAGATGAGAATGATTTATGATGTTAGGTTTTCAACAGGTAATACATAAACCATTGCTGTGCGCAATTGGCTGCTGCGTTTCGCCCACAAATATACAGTCAATTCACTGCAGTATATTCTGTGAAGCGCTTTGAGACGTCTAGAAGATAGGAAAAGCGCTATATCAAATGCAAGGATTATTATAAACCATCACCGCTGTAGCTGTATTAAGATACTCGTGAAAAAAACAAAATCTAATACAAACGCATTACTTTATAGACTTTGGAGTCAGTGCATTTTTAGCTACAGGAGGCGACATGACCCGAAACAAAGTAAGGAAAACCTTTGTGGGAACTCCATGTTGGATGGCACCTGAAGTTATGGAACAGGTAAAGAAATCCTTATATTTGTCGGATTCAAAATGTGTCTCTAATTCCTATTTAAGCAATAACAGAGTAATCTTTGGCAAGGTTCTGACATAAAGTGCATTGCTAATCCAAGGCCAGTGACCAGAAATCTGTGTTGAATAAGCTATTCATTCCTAACCCTAACTGGGACTGTGATTTCTCAAGTATAATAAAATTGCTCAGACATAGCGTAGTATTCTTTTTCTTAAACACTGGTCTGGATCCACGTCAATAGTTGCTTTTGTTTAACCTGTGCAAGATCTGTTCATTTGTATGAAGGACGGCCTTATCTTTATGTAAGAGGAAGAGAAGAACCTGTAATGAATTTAACAGGATTTATTTCAGGTTTCCTTAAAAATTAATTTCTTAAATTAATTTTTTCAGGTGCGAGGCTACGACTTCAAAGCTGATATTTGGAGTTTCGGGATCACAGCCATTGAACTCGCAACCGGAACTGCACCCTATCATAAGTACCCTCCCATGAAGGTATGTGAGCAAATATCACAGATCAATTTCATACTTGTTTAAAATTTAAATAAGTATACGTCAGCTCTGTGCACATCAACATATTTTTTTTCCTACAGTTCGTTGTAAATGACTTTACAGTCTAATTTTTAAAGTAGGGACCTAAGACATGATCTGTGTATAAAATCTCGTAAGTTAGCATTTCAGAGAGGTCTTTGTTGGAAATTGGGAACATGTTTAATCCTTTTCTCAAATTTACTGAAAAGGCACAAAGACTAATATAAATGTTTCTATTTTAAATAAATGTCAATACCCACAGTGGTTGTGATGTATTTTATTTTAAATGTGTTTCAAAATGCCTAATTTATAGCTGATCTGTGTAATGTTCAGTTGCTACTGAAATCCACAGTATGTTAGTGGATAATATCTGCTATTTACACACAACTGTGAAAAAAAAATGCTATGATTCCTGCTCCCAAACCCTATGTTTGGTGGGAACACTCTTATGGTATAATTCTCAAAGACAGTGCTGTAGAGGGGCCTTCTTCATTGTTGATGGAACCCTATTATTAATAGGTTAGTACTGTTGTTTGAATATAAAGTGTAGCTCAACACATGGTGGCAGTGTTGATACCAACACGTTTCATTAAAATCATCAGAGAGATTTATTAAAGGAATTAAACCCAACACAATTAAATCCATATACCCTTCATTAAACACAACTGAAACTGCGGAGCAAGGCTGATCACCAGTGACTAAGAATATTTTCAAATGATGTGAAAATTAAGTGCATTTACAGTCACCTTTTTTNCTACAGGTGTTAATGCTAACATTGCAGAATGATCCTCCCACTTTAGAAACCGGTGTGGAGGACAAAGACATGCTTAAAAAGTATGGAAAATCCTTTAGGAAACTAATAGCATTCTGTCTTCAGAAAGACCCAGCTAAAAGGTATGTTTATTATGAGGAAGCATACATAGAACTGTGCATCAATAAATCCATTTGTGTAAATGTAAAAATCAATAAGAAAAATCTCACATATTCCGTTAATATATTCATTGCCTGCAATGTAAGTGGTTGAGTTTGACCTTTGAATGAGTCTTCAAATGTCTAACATCTGAAGCTGTCAGATAAATATTAAATATTAAAGTGTCTTTTTTTATACAGTGATGGATTTTTTAAAATTAACCAGAATATTTACTGTTGGATATTTTAAAGGAAACATGAGTAAGATTTTAACAATTCTACAGCAGGCTGATCATAACTTGACGACCATAACTCCCCATTTGCAGTGATTATGATTCCTTCCGCAAAAGAAATTTTAATAAAATATTTCACGCTGCTCTCTAAAATATTCGTACAGAGCTCAAAGACAGCAACTTGGAGACTTTACTGTAATTTTACTGTAATAGAACTGGTCTCATCAACTTCATTAGGTAATATGTCATTGCTCTCCAATGTGAAATGAGATGTCACCCAACATAATGCCATGATGGCCAGAGTTAACACTGTCTCCCACTACTCCCATAAATCTGCTACAACCAGACACTTTGGGGCAGAAATACGCTTTATGGCCCTTTTTTTGAACTGAAACATGGCAACAGTTTTTGATATAATGCAAACACTAAGAGGGAAATGTGTCATGATTTTAATAGTTTTGTCATTCAACAGAGTCCAGAAGCCACTTATACTATTATTTAGTCCCTGTAGTAATATTGTAAAATTGGTTATTCAGTTAATGACTATTCGTGGGACATTGCCTAAAAATACAGTCACACCACTTCACAGCGAAATCCTGTGAAGCACTTTGGGACGTCTCAATGATGTGACGAGGCGCTATATCAATTTCAAGCATTATCATCCAGTCTCCAAAATTCACTCCAGACCCAATTTTTAAGCCATTTAAAAAAAAGTGGAGCATAACAATTTTTTTTAAAGTTTACCACTGCAAGTGAAATATTATTCAATACACGGCACGATGGAACACTTAAGTTATTAACAAAGTGAGTAGGAGGTCTTTCTGTGCCATGAAGAGTATCTGCTAAGCGGAAACTAAGTGCTTCCCCAGAGAAGGGGTGAAATATAGAGCCAGTTACCACAAGCTTTTTAGGGCAGTATTGGCAAGGTATTGAGCAGGTTGCCTACCTGCTCCCTATTATCATTCCTGGTTTACTATGGCATGGAGTGGGAATCACTGAATCCAGTCCACACCATCACAATGCTGGAAATGTGAATCTGTCTTGACAAATATTACAATAAATGTAGTGATTCTGTTTCGATAGTGCTGTGCCAAGGTACTGCTGGACCATATTGTTGGATCAGAACAATTAAAATATGCTTCATGTATATTTTTACTAGTAATCACCTCCAACATATCCAGTCACTCACTTCACAGAAAATATAATAAAGTAATGTTTTTTGCATTTGGTATAGCGCCTTTATCACATCATTGAGACGTCATCAAAGAGCTTCACTGAATATATTGTAAAGCGGATTGACTGTATTTAGTGGGCGAAAATATGAACGGCTTTGAGATGTCCATGAAAGGCAGAAATATCAAATACAAGGATTATTATTAATCTGTAAAACAATGTGCTACTGATTTTAATTTAGCCACTTGTGGAATTAATATCCATTTAGCATCATATCTGAAAATTTTCCAGCTGCTAATCACCTTTAATAGCTTTGTATGGAAATATCAATGTAGTTAACATTGGCTGATAAATTTTACCTTTGAACTTGAAGACACATGTTCAGCAAAAGGAGTGGTCAATGATTGTGCCATTAACTTGGTATCCGAGTACTTTTGTGTTCTGGTTACACTTGTCCGAAAGAAAGATTTTTTTTTAATGGCAATTTGTATTCACTAATATATTAACTGTGATCACTGATGCCACCATGTGATAAGGCTCATATCAAATGAAAGGATTATTTTATTGTATACTGGTGAGGTATTCAATGAAGGGACTTGCAGGATTGCTTTGTCTGATTGCACAGTTGAACTATCCTTGTTTAATGGTGGCTGAACTGTTAATATTATAGTAAACAATATGCCATTGTTTGTGTTTTACAACTTACACATTTTTTAAAAAAAATATGGTTTTGGTCACTTGTTAATGAAAAAGGTTTTGAAATTGGCAATAAGCCATTAATAATATCAGTACATAGTTTGGGACACGACATGTCAAGCGACTGCCAGGAATGGTGGAAGGCAAACGAGATAGACCTTGGTCTTCTTTTGCCGAGCAAATTCTTATGTTCTTATTGTGACTGTTGTACATTTTTCAAGTTCAGAAATTGACAATTAAAGATTGGTCACAAGTTTTCTCTGCTAAACGACTTTAAAATGGCTTTACTCCTCTACAGGTGACCACAATATGGTCATTAACACTGTGTTAATATCTTATCAAAGAATGTTCCACTTGTTATAGCATGGATCCTGCTAATCGTCTGATTAACTGGACTCTGATGTGCTTTGTTCCCTAGAGTAATAATTAATTACCTTTTAACCATCTCCATATTGTTCGTAGTCTCACAGTGAGTAATTGTTTGGCTGTGTTTCCCTGATAATAGCTACAGTTTTCTGACTCATTGATGTACCAGTTCTTTATCAAGGCAAATCTTCGGAATTGTACTTTTTGGGGATAATCCACTTCTATGGTAATTTGTATTGATCCTGCAGACCTACCGCAGCTGAACTTCTCAAATACAAATTCTTCCAGAAAGCAAAGGTAATGTTGATGGGGTTTTAAAAATTAGCTTTGTTTCATGGTGTATGAAAACTGCTGAAATATTTACGTTTACGACCATGATTTCTATGGCTCTGATGTGCACTGTTGTTGACCTTGCAGAATAGAGAGTATCTGATAGAAAAGCTGCTGGACAGAACGCCAAGTATAACTCAAAGAGCCAAAAAGGTAAAGCACTGAACAGCTGACAAAAATCAATGGCCTGTTTTCTTGAAGAGCTATTCCAGGTTTTTTAAAAAAAAAATCAGCTTCTGTTATAACTTCCAACTCCCAGCAGAGGGAGAAATAAGACACTGTCCTGATTCCCTCATTGATTGTCATCTCACCCGACCACAATTAAAGATTGGCCAGTTTTCTCTGCTGAGAAATGTTTTTTCTCGTCTAAAGATGACCACAATATGGTCATTAACATTGTGTTAATATCTTACCAAAGAATGATACATCCACCCTGACGATTACTATGACCTCGATACGGTACATTGAAACCTGTCTGTGCACTCTCTCTCTCTCTCTCTGTCTCTCATTGGTTCCCATTTGCCTCTCTTATATTTTGTTGCCCGTTCCGTTTTTTGTGACTTGTTTTTTTCCCTTTTTTTGGAAGCGCGTTTTCTTCTTCTGTTTTTTTCTCTCTCTCGTTGTGGCATTTGTGACAACATCCGAGTTGACTTTCAGTACAATCGTAGCTGCCATGTGCAATGAGTAGTTTGTTTTTGATAATAACTCACATCAATAGGTAAGGAGGGTCCCAGGGTCAAGTGGTCACCTCCATAAGACAGAGGACGGAGAGTGGGAGTGGAGCGATGACGAACTGGATGAAAAGACAGAGGAAGGCAAAGTAGCTGTTACCCATGGAAGGGCAAGTACAAGTCCTCAAAAAATTTACAGTTCCAGTATTACTAATAGATGTCATTGGAAATAATTGACTAATATTGAGATGTACAAATCATTGATGTGTATAATAATCCGTGGAAAGGATGCGTCTTGGTGACATCAGCTTGCAGAAACATTTGTTGATATGTAGACACACAATCCCTACCGTAACTTCATTCTAAAGTATTTTTCCAGTTAACCTAGGGGTCTATTTCCTCGATATGTAAACATGTGCAAATTGATGTGGACAGAGTGAATCACTACAGATCTTGATTATGTAATTAAGAAACTGGAAAATAATCGGTTGCTCTTCTTAGAATTATTGAATCCTTTTCATTAAGAGCATTTACAAATGGTGTACAATCTATCCCATAGGAGGCCATTTAATTGCTTAAGCTAAAGTAATTTGAAATCTATTGTCTTCTGTTTAAAAGAATGTAGTTTTCCCTCTTAACAAAAAAAACAAATTCCAACTGACATTCTTTCTGGAACTTTTAATTTTTAGAAAAAANGTTCCCGTTTAAAAATGGTGCCGAGCACTATATAATGAACTGAATTTTCTTACGCGACAGGAAAGAGAAGGGTTTTTATGTCTTGTAACTGTTGTGATGTTCTTTACAGTCACGAAGAGTGAAAGACCACAATTTACAGGTAATTAACTTAGTATTCAGCCGGTTACAGATGTATTAAGACTTTTTAAGTGAGTTGTGGAATTTTTTTTTTGAAAAGTAGCTCGGTGACTATATTTTAGAGCAGTGGACAAGGCTACTCTTTTTCATTAACAAATTTTTGATTTATATCATCATTGCTCATGATAACACAATATATGCTCAACTCGAATTGTAAAAGACTAAAAAAATTATAGTTAAGTCCTTATTATATTCTAGGCACTACCTATCCCTGATCTCAAATGTAGGAGAGGAATGTCTGCAGTGAATCTGGTTTTGCGGTTAAGGTAAGTAAATGCAGTATGTACGACTCATTTCGCCCACAAAACACACAGTCAATTCACTTGACTGTATATTCTGTGAAGCGCTTTGAGACGGCTTGAAGACGTGATTATCAAATGCAAGGATTATTATTATTATTATATGCAGCTTCTTGAATTTACAGAGAATATTTAAATTGTTCCGATGGCTTTTCGATTCCTGTGATGTTTTAATGAATGTTTGTTGTTCTCAGCATCCAGGCTTGATTTGCATGTAATTAGAGAGATTCTAAGCAGTAATTAAACCTTTCTGTAAATGGGTGAAGCACGGTTCTACTTAAGGGAACGCACGCAGTATCCTAGATAAACTGCCAAAGATAAACCTTAGCCACCCAACCACTGCCCTGCATTAGGCACGACCTCCTTCAGAATGCCATATCATAGATCTCTGTGGGTCAGGTCGATATTAAATACCCCAATGCAGTACTCGGTAGAAAAGTTCCAATCAATGGTTTATGGCTTATCAGTGACAAATTTCAAATCTGCTAAAGTATGTTCAGAATCTGTTTTGTTGGAAATGTCATGTTTCACCAAGGCTTAAAAACTGTTTGAGAAAAAAATCGTAAATGTTTTCAGATGAATTAGAATTGTAAAGCAGTGAATGTATTCTATTTTGCCTCATGAGACTTAATTGCGTGCATGATGTTTATCCCTAGGAATTCAAGAAAAGAATTGAATGACATACGGTTTGAATTCACTCCAGAGAAAGGTGGGTTTCCAACTGGTGTTTAGGCCTGTTGTGTTGTAATCTCCATTGAGTGACCTTGGGCTACAGGCTGTTTGGACTTTTGCAGTTGTAAACTGAGAGAGCATATCCAGATGTTGCTTTCAGATGGAAATTTGCTTTAGCAAGAGAATTTAATAAATATGCAAATCAGGGTAGTGCTGACTTAATCCTTTGATTAAACATAATCACATTCGGTGGGTAGTTTTGAAGTGCCACTCTTGCTTTCTTTCCAGATAAAATCTATTCTTCTTACGCTTTGTTTACAAATATTTGGTTTAGTACTCGAGGCAAGATCAGTTTTGTTATTCATAACCGCTTAATTAATCACAAAGAGCTTAATGCACATCTATAATCATATTCATCGTGTAGAGTATAGCCAATAATATGTTTGTATACTTTGCCATCAAACTAATTATCAAAAAAAATCCTTATACAAGAATGACTACCTGGACAATCATGCATCTGAGCACTATCTTAACCATTTTAAAATGTTCCCTTAAGTGATAATTAGGCATTTAATTGAGTTCATTTGAGAAAGGGTAAACTTCAGAATTTATCTTTGATAATTATACAACACCTCAATTACTTAATTTCATTCCGTTTCTGGATTTGTATCAAAGACTCATCTTCTCTGAATCATTCAGAACCAACAACAACTTGCACTTATTATAGTGCCCTCACAGGGTGCTTAACTGTGTCGGAACCTGACTCCCATCAGTGTATTGGGCAGTACATAGGCACTCTGGGGCGTTACCCTGAGTGGAGGGCGCTATATAAGGGCAAGTTGTTGTTGTAGTACACCTATAAACATTCAGTATTTGAACATTAAAAAATTCTCACCTCAATAAAACTCAATAAACTTAAACATTTTCACTAAACGTCACAAGGGGATTTCTCTCATGAGACTCTTGGTTCCTTTCAATATTAGGCAAACTGGAATCGTTACCTGCACACATTTCTCTGCCCATAAACATTGATTTGAGACTTCAATAAAAGGTAAGGATTTGATAAAAGTTTTAATGTAATCTGCGGATAGCTTCCTCTCACCAAACAAATTGGTTTAATAATCAGCAATGGTAGAATCTTTTGCAAATTTATTCCTTAAGTATCAATACATTTGTTTAAGAAATCAACAAATTGCCCTAAAATGTATTTAAAATGGTAGCTAGCTGAATATTAAACTCGTGCAGACCTATGTTTGCAGGAAGAATTAAAAACTCCAGTTTTTAGTCGACAGTAACTTTTACCTCTTTTGAACGGTTTTATTCTAATGATAGTCACACTCATTTTGACAACAGTTTGGGGGTGACAGGGAAGAACCTTTTTTTTTGAGGACCAGTTACCTTTGCAGCTTTTAATCTATTTGGAGAACTGGATTTGTAGATTATAGATGGTCTGAACCACTTCAACCAGCATTAGCTGCAGCTCACTCAAGTCGTCTTTGCACATACTCATGAGAAGTTGCTTCCCACCCAATTAAACCAATTGAACCAAAGTTCACTAATAATTAATAGTCATCCTCAGTTCTTCATCATCACAAGTACAGTGGCATTTCATCCTGTTATTTTGGTATTATTTCCTTATTGTTTCCTTTTGTTCCGTTACTTATCAAGAAGGAAATTAAAGATTTATAACCGTTCTCTTTGTATGGTTTTTCAGATGATAGAAAACTGCCCACCTGTTCGTTCCCCATGATGCTTGACACACATTTGCAGTTTAATATATTCTGTCAGATAAATTTAATTCAGTGTGTTTTACATCCAATATCATCATTTGTAAAGAGATTTATCAACTCTTACCCCGAGTATCCAACTGGCTGTTCCTTCATATCCCACCATTTCACATGTTTCGAGTTTGAATGTGTCTGAGACGGGACATACAGTGACTGAGCTTACTTCTATAGCCGTTGCTGTAAAGATGCCTTTTGCACATTAAAGTTAGAGGATGTGCTGTAAGGTTTTGAACAGTGAGTTGATACCATAGAAGAGCGTTCTACAGAATTGTTCTACCTAAATGAACTATTTAGATCTAGAATATGTAAATTTTCAGAGGTAAGAATGGTGCTTCTCATTTTGTCTGGCCTTTTCTCTGAACACATTCTTTCTTCCCTCTATTTCTCAACACCTTTCTTTGGGAAACAAGTGGCAACAACAATAGATACTTACTTGTGTCAATGCACTATTTATTGCTCCATGTAATGAATTACAGGTGAGAGAAGAAGTATTTGAATAAGCAGAACGTTCAAAGGGAAAACCCGAGACAGAAACAAAATCCTGGATATTTCCCCCGCCTCCATTCTTAATAGTTGTTAAAATGCACAAGAGCTTGTTTCTCAAAGAATTGCCTAGTCACGAATACATTAAAGTAATAGAACCCTCTCTTTCCTTTTTGCTGACACATCGACGGATGTCTATTTCTTGAACCCTATATGTTCATGAAGACACAGCAGATGGAGTCTCTCAGGAATTGGTCTCTGCTGGCCTTGTAGATGGACATGACGTGATTGTTGGTAAATTGCGTTTTCCTTATATGTATTAATTAGTTTGCTGTACGTTTGTTCGTCCCACTAAGACTTTGGGGGGAAAGAAAATCAGCTGACATTTAAAATCAATAGTATTTCGAGAATGTCCAGCAGTTCAATGGTTTTCAAACTCTGGGGTCAGTGGCTACAGGGAGTTAGTTCCATCTGTATTAGTGAATGAGTCACCAGTACATTAATTGACTAAATGTATGAGCCACAGTAGTCCCTCTCTACGTATTTTAAGGAATTTGCTTCCCTTCAACTTGTACTCCAGAAGTCCATGATTCAGTGCTGGCTTTACTTTCGTTGGTTTCCATTGGGACCACTTCCAAGTGCTCGTTCCTCATTTGTCAGTGACAAGCAGTGCTAACAGGCTTTGAGGACAGGTGAGGCATCAGAGTCCGGTCCACTCCTGTCATCACCTGATATTTAAAGGTATACACTTTAAATTTCATGTTGTCAGATAGTGAGAAGCGAGAACTGGATATTTATTTTCGACTCCTGCCCTGGGGCACTGAGCCCCATAGTAAGGCGCCTGTCACCTTCCTGCAGCATTAATTTTTGGGATTGTTCCTGCATTACATTGCAACTTTTCTATATATCCTTCTCATGCTATGCCTTTCCTCTGTCCTTCAGTACTGTTGTGCTTTGGGATTTATATGTTAAGAATTGCCAACGAGATCAGTAACTGGGATACCGTCCCATTGCATAAGCGCAACTGACAACTTGGTTTGATTTACAGTTGCTGCCAATTTACGTAAGATAGTGGATGATCCCAAAACACACCAAACACTGACCTTCAAATTGGTGAGTATCCTCTCTTAACAAACTATTCCTTCGGTACATATTCAAACATTTTGTAGTGCAAACAATTTAAAGGAAGTTTGCATTTTTAATCCCACGACATCAAGATGCATAACAAAGATCCAATATAGAAATGACCAAAGGACTTCGGAAAGGTATGGAGCTAAGAGAGCTCCTGACGTCTGATTTCAAAGCAATATGCTAGCAGAACATTTATTACTTAACATTTATCTCGTAAACTATGAGATTGGAGTACTCAATAGAACTAATGGGACCGGATGCTCACTTGTTATAAAGCAACTGTAAGAGGGTTAGAAAGTAAACTGAAGGATATTCCCTGGTCAGATGAATAACCTGTTCCTAGATAGAGAGGGAGAATTAAAAACATTAGTTGTTATAGTGATTTATGTTGAAAAATGCCTCAAAATGCTTGGCAGGGAACTACTACCTATATTTATAGGCGAACAATCACAGTTAAAATTTTAAAAAAATCAACAAACTTATGTATTTTTACTTGTCAGGCCTCCAGCTATGATGGTACTGAGGTGCCCGATGAAGTCAAGCTGGTAGGCTTCGCTCAGCTCAGTGTCAGTTGACACATTGGACACAGAATACATGACGAGAATTGAATGGGAGGTGGTTCACAGAGAGCAACGCCTGCTGAATACTGCTTCATGCACCACGACAGAAAAAGAAGCTGTTCAATTGGTGGCTATGCATTGGCTTCTGCTCTTCCACTGCAACTAGTAACCAAAATTGCTTCACTTAACTAACAGCGCACTTGCACAAACAACTAACTCGCACTCATTCAACAAAGGCCTAATTTAAGCGGATGTATGTATCCGGTGAATGTAATTATTGCTGCAAGCTTATTTATGAAATTTTCAAAATATTTTCTATAATACAATATTACCTCTGTACTTAGAAATATCTTTATTTAATAGGACTATGAAAAAAATCTTCGCTATTGACATGAATTGCCTTGTTGGTTTAGTTTAGGTATCTTATTACATTCCAGTTATGTCATCAGTCGCACTAAATGCAAATGTGAATAAATTATGATTGGTGCCAGTTTGCTTTTTTATTTAAAAAAACTCTTAATTTTATATCTAGTAAATTGCTTTTAATTCATATTGAATCCCTTAACTGCACCAACTAAGTTAATTCAATTAACAATTGGACTGTAGAGTTCAGTGTTTGAGACACTCCTCCTCCCCCCTCCCTCTGCATTGCTGAGCATTCACATCAACTATCTGATCAGTTCAATACTGTTGTGAACTGAATTGGGTATCGATGGTACCTTCTGGGCACTTTAATTAAATGCTGCTGCTGTAAAACACCAAAATAAATATAATTCCCCCAAAAAGAGACCATTTTGTGCTGGCTGTACAGATTTTCATTTGGTAGATTTTGATTTTACTGATGCCTTTTGTATTTGTTTTTAAATTAAATGCTTGTGAATTACTGCACCAATGTTGATATGCCACATGCACAAAACAAAAATAAAGTGCCCACATTTCAGTTCAAGGAAGCTTTCTTTTTAAGTCAATAGTAGCACCTCTATTGTCATCACATCCGAGGTCACCTAATAGCACGACTGCAACAAAACCAAAACATATCTATTCTACACGGCTCAGTCCCACACCATGGCATTTCCTTGCTGAGCCATTGAGGTAACCAACCCCTATACACTTATTACAACCCAGCAGTTTATTTTGATAAAAGTTTAATAAACATCAACCGAGAAAGTTCCCCGTTAACAGACATTTCAAAAAACAAAGTTCCTCTTGTGGTCATGTTAATAAATAAAAAGTTGGACAGATATTCTGAAAATGTAAAGAATAAGTAATGACTATTCAGCAGGGAGTCTGACTGTTGGCAGCCACTTTACTGACGACCTGCCATCGAGTGAATGATTAGAGCACAGTGACTCATGTTTGCCTACATGCCTTTGGTAGACTTGATATCATTCTTGAAAACTTTACATTGATTGCATGTCACCAGAAGTCTTTTTGAATATTTAACTGCCAAAATATAAGTTTTCCCACTCTTGAACCGTGTGGTTTGTGCTTTTCAACAAAAAGCTAACACTACACAAGAAGAAAAAGCTCTCTGGGGCACTATATAAATGCAAGTTGTTTAAATATCTTGGCTTGTACATTAAAAATACCTGCAATTACGTTTTGCCAACAAAATATAGTCAATTCACTTTATGGTATATTCTGTCAAGAGCTTTGAGGCGTTTCGATGTGACAAGGCGCTATACCAAATGCAAGGATTATTAATTATATGTGGGGAATGGGATGGATCTTTGGTAAGAATACTGAACTGTGTTTGGAAATAAGATAATGAAATGTGCAGTCAGACATGAATTCATCCTTTTTTCTTATGAGAATAACACATTCCTTTTCAGCTTTGCTTCTGTGTTTAATAAAAAGCTTCATATTGCACTATAACTCCAAAAAAATGATTTATAAATACTATCTTGTCATTTGACACAATTTATTGGTGGAAATGATGCATAGAAAATAATTTAAAGCTTACCATTCCCTTACTAACTCCCACATTTATCTTTATGTATTGCCTAAAGGATATGCTTTCAATTAACCAGTGAGTTTATCTAAAATTCCTGACTGCAGTACTCTTAAAGCTTTTCATTTTGGACCAAATATAATATAAAACCCTAGAAGTAGATTTCTGCCTTTTCCTCTATATAAACTCGGCTTTATGTAATGTAAATCATAGATTTTAAAAGGACACATTTTAAAAAGAAGCTAACATTTGTTATAACTGACCTAGTTGTTAGTCGATTGGCGGATCGCTTTTGGGACTAATCCTCAAAAAAATTATTGGTTGCTCAATCCGCAATTAGCCTGTGTTTTACCCACAAGACACAGTCAATCCACTTTATAGTATACTCTATGAACGCTTTGAGACGTCTCGATGACGTGATAAGGCTCTATATCACATGCAAGGATTATTAATACTTATAGACATATTGAAACAAAACAAAATTAGCAAAAACAGCAATTAAGAAAATGGAGTCCGAGGCCTTGCAGCCTTTCAATAACTCACAAAAGGTCAACATAAATGAAATAGCTGATCAACAAGTCATTACTTTCTGGAAATGAGAGTTAAGGGCAAGCAATGTTCCCATTATAGGGCCTCACATCGATATCGCTGACCTCTATAGACTAATTTACATCTGGACACCATTGGTCCAGAATTTTAAACAAATATAAAAATGGGTCTCTGTGGTTTGTGATATTTTCATTGCTCTTCCATCCGGCAGAGTTGTATTGGAGTTCAGATTTCTTGATCTGTTCAGAGTTCCAATACTTTATGCATTACATTAAGTCTTATCTCTTTGCACTTTCATTTCTGGACTTCCATGTATGTGTCACACACAGAAGTGTGTTAATCAAAACTTTGATTTTGAAGATTTAGACTTGACTCTGAGAAAAACTGTGGAGTGCTGTAGCTCAGCGGTTAGAGCACTCGCCTCACAAGCGAGAGGACCCGGGTTCGATTCCCGGGCGGGGCTAAACCTTGGGCAAGTTTCCTTACTCCACACTCCTCTGTTTACCAGCAGTCAGTAGGAACCCAATTGTTAGTCGATTGGCGGATCGCTTTTCCAGGGGCAATAATTCCTTTAAAAAAAAAAAATTGGTTACTCAATCCATGACTGTGGGACGCTGCTGTCCGCAATTGGCTTCCGCATTTGGCCCACAAAATATACAGTCAATTCACTTTACATCGTATTCCGTGAAGTGCTTTGAGACGTCTCGAAGACGTGATGAGGCGCCGTATCAAATGCAAGGATTATTATTTATTATGAAATTAGTATTTCAAATTGCAAATACCAATGTAAATACATCACCTGGTGGTGGGAAGATCAGATCAGTCTGCATCAGCAAAAATAGCTTCCCAAATATTTGCTGCATCTATGCTGATCCAATCAGACATATCTAGGATTACTGGTATCTCAAAGGCTCCTGAAAGCTTAGTGCTGGAAGCTGAAAGTTTATACCTGATGGTAACCCTCTCGTGCTGTAACCTCTCCAACATAATCTCCACACAAAAACGCTACTGATTGGGATTCCTTGCGAGGACGTTTTTAGCTATTCAGCATTGATTGTGGCTAAAGAATACTGTGCACTTTCACAGATGCTGTATTAAACTAATCGATGCTAAATTAAATAAGAGCTGGAATTAGCTCTGGAGTAGTCCATCAAGATGACCAGATTGATTGATGGTGGTTGGGGGCTGTATGATTTTAAATTCCTTACTCAATCTCAAAGTGCTCGGAGTCTCAGAAAGCTGGTGACCTTATGCACCCAGGGCCTTGGGACGTCCTCCCAACGTGAAAGGCGCTATACAAATGTAATTTGTTGCTGTTGATGCTCTTGAGGAGGTTGAAGAAATAATCTTTAGATCTTCTGGTATCTTTAGAGTCATATTCACCTTTGTCATTTAACTAATTAAGATCATTAAATGTCAGAGAGAGGGGGAAAGCATCCATTATGAGGCAGTAAAATCTCTGCCTCATTGCTTGCCTTGGAATTAGAAGAAAGTGGTGAGTTCAACTACTACATTGAATTCTCTACTTAGAAACTAAATTCTCTTTTAGATCCCCTAGTCATTAAGTTATGTTTGTGTTCCCTGGTTACCGACTGCTCAACCAGTGGAAACAGCTCTGTATTTTGGTTAGTTTATTCCCTATGATTAGTAAAACACCCAGCTTAGATTCATCTACAAATGTAAGACAACTCCATCACTGTTCCCAAATACTTTATATACAGTATTCGATAAACAAAACAATCCTAGCACTGACCACTTAAGTACTAGCTCGCTCTCCAACTCCAAACTAACTATATTATTCAAAAAAAAGGAATAATAACATTTCATCCTGTCATTTTTTTTTTACAGATGATTTTCCAGAAAGCAGATTGCCATCTGAAATGCAATAGTTGTTCAGATATTTTCTACTTTCCGAAAAAAAAGTACATTCAAAACACGGAGATAAAAATCTAATGTTGGAATTAATTCACCACAAAAAGTGGCATTCTCATTGGTAAATCACAACGTAGTAAAATTGTGCTCTCATTCAATAAAATGCAGCATTTTCCAGCTGTGCGCAGAACCGTTTGCTTAGGTTTGCCTTGAAGAAATAGTTTCTCTGACCTTTCAATCTGTTTCTTCTACTTCAACAAATCATTTCTATTATTGAAGTTGGCGTATTGAATTTTAGCTGCTCGTTCCCCAATGTCTTTGAGGTATTTGGGTCACATATTACTCCAGCCCCACACTCTAGCATGTCCTGTGTGGAGGGCACTGTGGGTGAGACAGACATAAAAAGCCAATAATTACAATATTCCAACAACCAACTCACCCATATTGACTCATCTCTGGTGTCCGCTCTCAACAACCCCATTCTGTGTCATACCCACCTCACGTTGTTGTTGTAACGTTAAGTACTTTATAGAGATAAAGTGCAAACTAAACCCTTTTTTATGAGGCAGTCAGTCATTTACCTGAATTTTATGAATTCCCAAAAAATAAATCAAAACTTTTCTTTGGAGCAAGTCAAAGGCTCCCTGAACCACAATAACATTTGCTTTTAACCTTTGACTACGTTTCATCCACAAAGTACGCAGTTATGTGTATACACTTTACAGTATATTCTGTGAAGCGCTTTGAGATGTCTCGAAGACGTAATAAGGCACTGTATCAAATGCAAGGATTATTATTATTATTTGGCAGAGGCTCCATTTATCTCTCAACTGCCCATATTTTTTTTCAAACAATGGCTGATGGACGGTTTAAGAAAGGCTATATAAAGATTTTAAAGTTCAATGGTTACAAGATGGACTAAAAGATGGTAAAATGTTTCATCAGTACAGACCTGTGAAGTCGGGTGCAGGAATCATTGGCAAAATGGAACAGTTTGTAAAAGTTGGACTATAACAACAGTTAACACAGCTGTAACACATTTGTTAGAATTAGGAACAATAAGGGACACACAATGGTAAATTAGCAACTGCGATTAAACCCTAGTTAATGTTGAACAAGTAGATAAAGAGGCTATTTACGGATTTGCCCGTTTACCGAGCAGAGGCAAATACCTGGGTTTGATTGCTGGTAGAGCGAAACATTGGGCGAGTTTTTACTCCACACGCACGGCTCTGTTTACACAGCAGTAAGTAGAAAGCCCGTTATTAGTCGATTGGCGGATATGCTTTTCCAGGGGTAATAATCCCTTCAAAAAGAAATAAAAATAATAATTTGGTCACTCAATCCACGACTGTTTGTGGGACGCTGCTGTGCACAATTGGCTGCTGCGTTTCGCCCACAAAATATACAGTCAATTCACTTTACAGTCTATTCTGGGAAGCGCTTTGAGACGTCTCGAAGATGTGATACGGCGCTGTATCAAATGTGAGGATTATTATTATAATAATGTGTTTGCAATAAGTTACATTGGGTTCTGCTCTATTTAGCTTATTTCACAACTTTCTCTCTCTGGGCACATACATGACTCTCATTACATTTAAAACTTTCTGTTCAATTTTTACATGCACAGTGTCTATAATTTATTTATTATAATTTAAAATGGCATTACTGTAATATTAAGTGCACAGTTAAATTTGGATAACCACAAAATCCAATTTATATATAACCGCAAACTATAAAATGGTGTTTTTATTGCAAAATAAAAAGCCATCGAACCAAAATAAAAAATAATGACTTTATAAGAACCTCATTGATCACCAGACATTGATTTTGACGCCCAAGTTTAACAATATACATTATTTTGCAATCAAAACCATTTACGACATATTTTCAAAAATGTTGAACATGAAATAGAACATTCAGTAAATATTTCCACTTTTTTTGAAGAACAGTCAAAAGTCAGACTATACGTGAAATCTATTTTACATTTGCAAAGGTGCATACTGATTCCATTGCCTCCCACAAACCCACCATTTTAAAGCAACTTTTGATCCGATTTGGTTATGTCCATTTGTGGATGTGTATTTTTATTAATTACAGGAGCGTCACTTGGGGGAAGCGAACTTTCACACACAGGAAATTACAATTCAGTCGTGACTCATTTGAATATTGCAAAAGATTTACTGAATTGGTTAGTCCATTGGCATTTAATGGAATGCACTCAAACCTTTTTGACCAAACCAGGGTAAGATTGACATAAGATGTCTTAATAATATAGTAATAGTAAACAGTAGACTGTTCTGAATCATAGGTTGGAGTACTTGTGGGGCATTTTATATCAATATAATTCCTTCCCTCAGTCCCTTCGCCTCGCTCCCTCCCTTGTTTTTGAGGCCAGTCTCAAATCTCTTCTCTTCGATTGTGCCTTTGGCCACCCCCCTACCCCTCACCCCGCCTGCTCAGGTCTAAATCCCTGACTGTCCAGCGCCTTGGGACGTCCTCCCGACGTGAAAGGCGCCGTGTAAATGTAATCGGGTATTGTATTGGCATCTCCCACAATATATGTTGCCGTGCTCTGCTGAATAGTGCTCCATTAGCACATCACTCACTCCATTGCAATGTCCTTGTTCTGTGAAGAGAGTGGATGATTTATCATCGGTATAAATCCACACACACATCCACACACTGTGGTATTGTTACAACATGAGTTCCCGCCTTCGAATGGCGGAGCAGTGGGGAATCAGAAGGTGATTTGACCCAATCGACACTTCCCTTTTGACGTATTAACATTTTACCCACAAAATATACAGTCAATTCACTTTGAGACGTTTCGAAGATGTGATAAGGCGCTGTATCAAATGCCAGGATTATTATTAGATCCTGTAACCTGTTCTTTTCACCTAGCACCTTTCTGTCTAATCATTCTCATGCTTGGACAGCGTTTAGAAGCCCAAGACTTCCATGTGGTATATGGCCTTATCACATCGGAAGGATGTCTCAAAGCGCTTCCCAGGAATTACTGTGAAATGGAGTCACTGTGTATCTGTAGACAAACATAGCCATTCCAACATTAATGGCACCTTTTATGTCTATTATGGGTGTATGTGGATGTGGGGAATTACTTTCCCTTACAAGTGCCACAGCAGCACATTGCTAATGTGTTTTCCTGCAGGGTTTTTAACTGTTGTGAATTTGGCATTCAGCCATTGAAATCCACAATCCACAGCTGGATTCATGGACCTTTTGTTTTTATTGTACTGCTGATTTGACTCATTAGCTACTTTAGAGACATCAGCTACTCATTACTAGATATACATCATCATCATCATGGGCTGCTGTGTTCCTTGATGCTCACAAACAGCAGTTAGGAATATGCCAGCCTCTAATGGGATTTGGTGGGGAAAATTGTTTAAACAGCATTTACTCCTGTTTTACCTAATTAATGTTGGGCCTGAGATTGTTAATTCAGCATCTGGGTTCTTCCCTCAACCTCAAGCAAACCAATTCACATCTGTTCTTCTCTTGTTTGTGTAACATTTATTTTCTCTGGCTCATCTGAAATATTTCAGGAGAATCGAGTTTAAAAATCCGAGAGAGAAAGAGAGAGAGAATGCACATTCCCCTTGACCAAGTAACACAATTATATAATCAATCAATCAATCAAGTTTTCGGCACTAATTCATTAATACATTCTCCACCAACATTTGGCAAATTAAGTCCAAACAAACCAAACTTCTTACATGTTTTATGCAAAATATACGGTGCAACAAACGAGAGCAATTCAGATCAAGAACAAAATCAATCCTGTTTCATGATAGTCATTAATTACAGTTCATGTGTTAGGTTCAAGCTATTAAATAAGTATTTAAACCTCTGACAGTGTCCACCACAGTGGACGGCTAAAATACTCCACCTCTCTACTGTAAAAATGTCCTTTGATTGTCCATAATGACATTGATATAGACGGCAGATCAGAAACGGAACGGCAACTGGGGTGTCTGTAAACCAATAGAGAAATCCTTTCAGTGATTTCAGCATCGAAGATGTTTTTTGCTCGACATCTCATTCCAAATCCTGTGCATTTCCTCTGGTGGGATCTGGTGCACTGTAATTATTCTCCGGTACCTACACAGGCTGTAGGTTATCTTCCAGTGATTGAACCCACTGTTCTGAAAGGGATGGATGCCCAACTTATGCAGGCAAAGTCCGACATACACATCCTCGAGATGAAGCAGCCTGGTGTGAAGAGACACTTTGTAAATAGCTTCAGCCACGTCTGCCGAAAATACGTAACCTGTTCCCGAACAGAACGGAGGGTAATTACTGTCTGGGTATAAATCTCTGGGCATGTACCACTTACTGCGCATGTCTCGTATAGGTCCTCCATTGATCACGTAGCCAGTAAAGTACCTTCTCCGTGGCTTGGTATTGGGCTTGAGCAACTTATTGATCAGATTCTCCATATTCACAAATATATCACTGTCGGTTTTCATCACGTACTTGGCTTTCGAGCAAAATGTGGCTATCCACTTCATGCCCATTAAAGTTTTCAAAGTCAGATTGTGGTAGGAGTCCACAAAGTCCTCAACAATGATATCATGGAAGATCTGACTCTCTTGTTCGACCATCTCATTCAGGACATTGTCTACGTTCTTGCCCAGCAAAAACAACGTGACCATCTGTATCCCTTTGAAATTGTTCTCATCTCCCCAGGTTTCCCTGATGGCCTGACGCGCATCAAAGTCCTTGTGTGTAGTGCTGATCAGGATCACCAAGAAAGGGCTGGCGTCCTCACATTTACGGGGCTCGTTGATGAGATAATTGAAACTATGTGGGTTCATTGGCCGGGTTCGAATGTTACTGAAGCTGAAATTGGAATCTTTTCTCACGAAGGTGATCTGTGAGAACGAGTGCTGTCCCACGTAAGTGGACGAGGGTCTGGTGGCACTCAAGTACCAGAGGACACTAGCCCAACACACCACTGTCAAGATATATAAACAGGAGGCTTTTGAAGGCATTTTGACATACCTTCCCGGGTTACACTTACACCATTTTAAGTGAATTCCCCGCCATTGGTTTTCCCTTTTACTCACAAATGCAAATATTGGTGCGGAAACCGAAGGGTTAAATCTGAGGTGCTCACGGCATCACACAGAATGAATGGGCTCATCCTAAAAACTCCAATGTCTCAGTTCAGACCGGATCTTGCCTCTCCCTCTCTCTCTCCCAGTCACATCGCTGCTTCCGACATTTTGTGCCTCTTGTGGTTTTTCTATCTGCAAAAAGATTTAGAAAAACGTGTTAGAATTCCCGTTTCGTCAAACTAACTGACTGCGGCACATTGTCACTGCCATCAACACGTTTGTGAACAATATGCAACGACCGCAGCTCGGAGTTGCAAGGCTGGCGGTGGAGCCCTGTAGCTCAGTGGCTGGAGTACTCGCCTCGCAAGCGAGAGGACCTGGGTTTGATTCCCGGCCGGGCATAATGTTGGGCAAGTTTCCTTACTCTACACGCCGATGTTTACATAGCAGTAAGTAGGAAACCGGGTGTTAGACCATTGACAGATCGCTGTCGTAGATGATAATCAGTGCCAGAACTTTTCAATCCTGCAATATTATTGCAAATGATAATCTGTTAATTATTCTAAGCAAAATAACACAATGGATAAATATTGTATGAATGTAAAACTCCTGGAGAATACAGATTAGAAACCTAAATAGTCACAATTTCCTACATAATTCTAATCAATTTTCTGGTTTGATCGGACAGTAGGACAATAAGACATTGTTAATGAGTAAATGTCTTATTGTCATTCACTTAAGAGTTTGATTAATATTTGTTAAGGTTACCTAGTTTTGCGTCTCTATAAAGAATCGAAGTACCAGAATGTTGCCTTTGATATCCATCTCTCCTGAAGATATTTACCCTCAGACTGTCAAAGCTAGGTCGGACTGTGTGACAGGAATAAATTGAAGTTGTGTTTCTATCACAGAATCAGAACCATCTGTTCAAACCCAGAACCTTCACACTTACGTGTTGTGTTATATGTCATTCACATCAGCCGGAGTAGGTGAGTGTTGAACTGCTCTTATTAGCACCTTATATTTCCTGTCTGTTCTTAACTTTGCACTTTTTTTCCCCAACAAATGTTAAAAATGTGCCTGTGATTTCCCTACAAATTAACTTGACAGCAATAACCTGCAAAGTGATTTCACACTTTTCAATGCTGCAGACCGTACAACAAACACCGGGATTATTAAAAACGCACGGTTAAACATCAAAGCTACCACAGACCAGATAATCGCCAGATGGTGAATGATCAAATTCACCTGAAATCTTTATGCTTTCACTGCTGGCAGCTTGAAGGAATTCCACGCTCCCCCACGCACATCCAGGTCTTAACTTTCACTTCCTACACTGTGGGTTACATCCAAGCCTAACACTACAGAGACTGAGATATCACATAGCTTTATAATAATAATAATCCTTGTATTTGATATAGTGCCTCATCACGTCTTCGAGACATCTCAAAGTGCCATTTAACCAAGTGACTATAATGTATTCCTGTCCTGTTTTCAGGCCACACAAAGACTGCTTCATTATGAAGCAACGTAGAACTAGTTTAACTGCTGTCATCCACATGCCGACAAAACTGGTTTGTATGAAATGGTTTAACTGTGATCGTCTCTTCTCTCTCTAAGGAGTTGGACAGCGTGTGTGTTGAAGTCTGCTGTCATTAGTGTCCACATCGCTGGGTTTATTCTAGAACTACGACGGGCAGGGCTTTACACCGCAGGCTCCCACTGTAATGAGTGCAACATTTTCGTAGCTGCAATCAAAAATAAACACACTACCTGCGCTAACACAAAGTCGGTGTCTTACGAAATACTGACGTTCGCAGCTGGTTGCTAAGATACTCGTGTTGAGTCTGTCACTTGTGCTGTGAAGCTGAACAGGATCAGAGCAAATTGTGCTTCACTTTCTGATGAGGTTGACAGCAGCCTCCTTGGCTACATCTACGAGGCAGCTTTGATGAGTTCAAAGGCAGTTATCAGCACTAGATTGCTGCCTTGACTCCCTTTGACTAATTTGGGTTGTTTACCATTTTTCAGGCAGGATTTGGTGTGATTTGTGAACAGAACCATCTGTACAGTTCCTTTACAGTGAATAGATCAAGATTTCTAAATGAATGTTGTCTATTTTTTGTCATTATTGCAGTACCCACTGCTAATATCACCAATTGTTTTTCTGTTTTTAAATAGCATTTGGGATTTTATTATTTTTATTGTAGGACAAATGATGCACAAAAGAATACCTTCTGTGCAGGAATATGTTCTAGAATAAATCCTAGTGGAGGATAAATTACTGACTAAAGGTAATAATAATCTTTAAATTTGCTATAAGAGCCTTTCACGTCAGGAGAACAGCAAAGTGCTTTAAAGGATAGACTGTAAAGTGCAGTGAATGTGTTTTGTGACAGTTAATTTGCACATAGATATGTCCCTCAAACAGCCATGAAGTAAAGGAACAATTTTATAAAGATTGTTTTTAAAATTCCCCTAAGCTCATTTAATAAAAACTGACTGTATAAGCGCGGCAGCTAATTGGACACAAAATACACAGTCAATTCATTTTATAGTACATTCTGTGAAGTGCCTTGAGACGTCTCGAAGACGTGATTAAGGCGCTGTATCAAATAGAAGAATTATTATTATTATCGGGGGCAGGAGTCTTACGGGAACATTTCTCAGCTTGATTTTTAAACTTTCCTAACTCAAGAGCAATGGAGGTAAGACATAGCGTCCGTACAGCTTCCTTGGCTCAAATCAACTAACTCTATAGCAAGCAGAGACATTTACATATAAGCCTAGTTTAATAATGGGAAGAGTCTTTACTCGCTGAAGCACCAAGGGATCTCATTATGAGGTTTTATGCACAGATCTACATTACAGGATAAAGATTCATGGCCAGTGAACATTAAGGGAGCCAAAGTTAGAAACGCAACAATTTCAGAGAAATCATTGTGGCCTCTGGTTTAAAGGAACTATAAATGAAATATTTTACACATAAACCTAGTAACCTTTTCCATGAAGTGTGAGAGGTAAATTCTTTCACCGAAGAGTAAAGCAGGAAACAAAACTGTAAACGTAGTAATTTACCGTTGTTTACTTCTATGAAGGGCAGCAGAGAGCTCACAGGGCAGTAGATAATGAGTTTAAAAAANCTGTTTATGAAAGAGCTAGATACGTGATACAAGTGACAACAGCCTTAAGATCATAAGTGAAGGCAAATCGTGCATAGAAATAAAATGGGTTGTTCTGAACAGGAATATAGTGCTATAGAAATGAGTGGGAGAAAATACATAGATAGAACTTGTTTATATAATTTGCTCTTAATAAGGATGCCCATTTAAACTGGACCTCGTTGTCAGTTAGGTAGCAATCATCTTCTAAAGAAATTCTAGCAAAACCCAAAGCTGAATCTTTGATGATCGTCATCTTTTAACTTCTCAGCGTTTTTACCTGATTGATGGTATGACTAAGACAGCACTAATAATCTAACACAAGTCTAAAGGAAGAAATGATGGTTTTTGACATGGTAATATGCAATTTATATTGGCAAAAAAGGTTTGTTTGAAAATATACTATTTCATGTTACTCCACTTTTCATGCTGCTCATTACTTTTGATCCCCAAAATAATCTGGTTCACATTTACTTATAGTATCTGACTGTGATAAAGTTATCAAGGCAATTTTTTTGATTTATATAATCTATCATCTGTGAATTATTTAGTTCTGATTTGAAGATCTATTCCTCCGACTGCAAGGGCTCATCAACTGCGACCATTATTTCTGTCAAAGGAAAGCGATTGTCTGACCTTTCAGAGGGACGTGGAACATCAGAAAAATAAATTGCGTATCATCCTGTAATGCCTGAAATATGGAAAATGACATTCTGTAGCGAGACATACAATTAATGCGGCCACAGCTTCAGAAACTATCTTAACCTTTACCTCATCTGCCCACAAAATTGTCAATCGTGTCTCTGTGTGTATACAAAACTGTAAGAAAATACAGCTAAACCGAGAAACAAACGGTAAAATCCTACCGATGCTGGAAATCTGAAATAAAAACAGAAATGTCTGGGAACACTCAGCAGGTCAGGTCAGGTAGCATTTATGGAGGGAGGAAAGTGAGTTAACGTTTCAGTTTGATGACATTTTGTCAGAACTCAGAACTTTCTGCCGAAAGGCCATCGAACTGAAACGTTAACTCACTTTCCTCTCTCCGTAGATGCTGCCTGACCTGCTGAGTGTTCCCGGACATTTCCGTTTTTATTTTTTAGGTCAATACTGATCAGATGACTGGCAAATCTGGTTGGGAATAGTTACTGAGCCTGACAGGATAAACAGTGAATTAACAGTGCCATAACCTGGGTAAACTTTCTCCATCTTAGTTTGTTCCAAGTACTCTGCTTATTACAGTAACTGCTCTGAACCTTTTCCCTTGATATCATTTGCACCCACCTTTATCAAACACACCTAAACACACACACAGAAAGGCATAAATGATTGAAAGCTAATTGTGTTTCGATGTCATGTTAAGCCTTTAAGATGATTACATCCTGAGCTGTTTAATTGAGTGCAGATGCACAGCAGCTATGAAGATAATGAAATAAAATGAGTATGTATGCATTATGTATTTCTTACCTTATTTTTATCCTCGGAATTCTCCCAGAAGGGATTTCTGTCTATACACCACATCCTTCATTCTGGAAACAGCTCAACTGATAAAGGATTGTGTCGGTGGGACTAAGGCGTACGAGATGAAGTGAGAGTGAATCCCTGGACATCAGCTTCTGACTGTCTGAAGGAACAAGAAGTTTATTATTAATTGGGCTGTTTTCTAGGTCAATAACATTTGAGATCCGCACATTCTTAGAAATCCTTGATGGAGAAGGGCAAATGTGATTCCAATCTTTAAAAAGCTCAGAAACATGACCGTTGGAATTACAAGACTTACAGCTCAACATTGTGGGTTGGAAAAATATTGCAGTCTATTATAAACCAACAATACCAGAGCATCCAGCAAGAGTAAAGGCAATAAATTCTAGGCACCATGGATTATGAAGCAGGGCATGCCGAACACATCAATAACGTTGTCTGAGAAGATAGCAGATTGTTGCATGAAGGTAACACAATGGATATTAAACATTGATACGTTTTTTAATCCATCACAGAAGCTGTAGTTAAAGATCTAAAATGAAGTGCTGCTGTCTTCTGGAAGCACTGCCAGGTAAAGTTCAGCGCATTAAACACAGCTTTCACCAATTACTTGTCCCATTGACCTTCAATAACATCATCATAGCCCTCACCAGATCAGTTCAGATGCAGAAGGCTCCTCCGCTCATATGATCTCGTCCTTCCAGAACACCCACTGGACACATCACAGCACCAAGCTCATTTTAAACAAGTCAATCATCTTGGTCTCAAAACACCCTTCCCGCTAACCTGTTCTGGTCACTGATATCCCTCTGGGTGTCTGAGAAAGATTTCTGTCCAACTATTATCTTTTGCAATTCCAAATCTATGTCCTCTTGTGCTACCCACGCATTTTTGATGCATCCTAAAGTATTGTTCTGGGTTTACTTAACATTTATTGATAAGGCCCCCTTTTAAGAATGAAGTGCCCTGGCAATTCTTATGTCTCTATGCTCTTGTGTTCTTATATTTTTATTTCAATCATAAAAAAAGACTTATTGCTGAATTTGGAATTCTGTACTGAACTTTGCAAGATTCATGTTCATCAAAATGTCGCCTCTCTCCCTCCCTCACCTCCTTCAAGACCCGTCTCAAAATCTTCCTTTTCGACCGTGCATTCTGCCACCCTCCTACCCCTACCTCCACCCTCCCCGCCCTCCACCCCTCCTGATCCCAACCCCCAGCTCGGGTCCAAATCCCTGACTGTCCAGCGCCTTGGGACATCCTCCTAACGTGAAAGGCTCCGTGTAAATGTCATTTGTTGTTGTTGGGCTACATCAGCTTTTGAAGATAAAGGAAATCATGTTATTTACTCTTTTGTTCTCTAATGCAACCTGCAGTTATTTTCCACAGAAAAGAGTCTGGTTGAATTGTAACTACGCAGATGGAATGTGTATTTTTCCATTCCAATGAGGGTTTGTTGGATCTTTAGGGAGGCGGTTGGAAATTTGCGGAAGCAGTTGGAAATTTTAATGACAAAAAATTGATTGATCATTATCCTTGAAGGAAGTAAAGCAAAACTGGTTTAATAGTCTTTTCTAGTTTCTTTAATCCATCTGTCTTTTTTTCCATCTGTCCGTTTGACTCATTAAACAGCAATGATCTGCTGCTGTAGGGAATCTGTTCCAATAGTAGCAAGAAATTATACGATTGAATACTGGCGTAGAATCTAAATCGTGCTGTTATTGACTTCTTTTTTTAAAAATCTTGTTTATGAAAAATGATCCCGTTATCAGTAATTCTGACTCGCTGACAGTTGTGGTTGGTAGGTGACAGATTATTTTGGGGACTTTGAAAATTATATATGTTTTAATAGCCTCATAATGTAAAGCACTGTTAGCCAAATAAAGTTAGAACCTGCTGGATAACATATAGAATCTTTATTTTTAACTATTTTCACTCGGATCGGATGAACGAGTGTGGCTATGTGCACTGATCCATAATGTGTACACATTTGTTATATGTACGTATAACAATTACAGCCATTGTTAGAGACTTGATTAAATACATTAACTGCACATCAATTACTTTCAGTTTAAACTGAATTAAAATGCAAAGGACATTGGTACATTTTACTAGGATTAGTAATGAGCACCAGGTAGACATGTTACAAGGTGCTGTGATGCTCTGAATGTATGTTAGGGAAGTGCACCCGGAATTCTTGTGAACTTGTCCATCATTAAAGTAATCCAGGTAAAGTCGTGACAGATTCTCACGTTGGTTTCTGTTGCTGTGGAAACTGTCAAATGGAAAGTATCAGGAGGTTGTCGCTGAGCTTTCAGCGCTAAACCTGACTCGAAAGTGTTTTATCTGACCAACATACAGGAACAGTTTCATCAAATCATTTCATTCATCTTATATTTAATATGGTTGCAAGTTTGGATGTGTGGAATAAGATTAAATTAGGAATAAGAAAAGGCTCAACAATTAGCCCATGTTGCTCACCATTTACATTTATATTTAAGTTTATCTTCAGGACAATTGCAGATCATTCACATGTCCTGCCTAAATTCTGTTTCTAAATTGATGTTTAATGAAAAATTTGATTGTTAAGTGCTCTGGGATGTTACCCTTTGTAAAGGCAAGTTGTTGTTTCTGTCAACATCACACACACGCACACACACAGTTCATTTAAAACTGAAGACAACAGAATTCAAGGTGATTGTCCAGTTCAAACTGAAGCATCTAATATTTTTCCCTTTAAACTGTTCCTATGCAGCCCATTAAGTAGCATTTGTTGCTCACGGAAGAGAGAAGGTCAGGCTAGTCTGGATGGTGAACATCTCCACAAAGAACGTCTAACCTTTCCTTTATACTCCTTAGATGTTTATGCCGAGAACTGTTTCCACACAGTGCATCATCCAGTAGAACCCGCACAATGTGTCAATGCAGAGAGACTTATAAAAGGTGCGAGGCAGCAATAAACGAGGCAGACAGGACGCTGGGTCCATTTTCACATCAATTGTGTTCAGTATGAAGTTCTATGACATGGAGCATAACACAGTCCATTCAGGCAGTGCAGAGGGCAATGAGGCTGATCCCCAGTGTCAGAGGAATGAAATAATAATAATAATAATCCTTGCATTTGATACAGCGCGTTATCAAGTCCTTGAGACGTCTCAAAGCGCTTCACAGGATATACTGTAAAGCAAATTGACTGTATATTTTCTGTGCAATTGGCTGCCTTGTTTATACAGTCGAGAACAAACACAAATGCTTCTAGCAGCGAATGGCAATAATAATAATCCTTCCATTTGATATATCGCTTTTCATGTCTTCTAGACGTCTCAAAGCGTTTCACAGAATATGCTGAATTGACAAAGAGAAAACCCTCACCAACCTGAGGGTTCCTGGAAAATATATTTCTATCTGTAAGAATTAGTATGACTTCTGTCAGACCAACATTGCTTGTGTAACTCAGAAACCAATTAAAAGGTTCAAATATGCAAGTGAGCAACATTACCAGTTGTATAAAAACATTTGATAAAATATCCGACTAACTGCAGTGCCAACATGTTCTCTGAGACAAACTAATTAGAGTGCGTTTTTCCAAAGGGACTGGGTGGAAGTAATTACATTTCTTTAACATTTATTCCGCTGGAGTCTACACAGTGTCTTTGAGACGTCTCAAAGCGCTTCACAGAATATACTGTAAACGTGTCGTGACTGTATATTTAGTGGGCGAAACGCGGTAGCCAATTGCGCACAGCAGTGTCCCACAAACAGTCATCGATTGAGTGATCAAATTACTATTTAAAATAATTTTTTTTAAAAAAAGGGATAATTACTCCCGCAAAAGTGATCCGCCAATCGACTAAAAACTGGGTTCCTACTTACTGCTAGTGATCAGAGGTGTGTGGAGTAAGGAAACTTTTTGCCCTGTCCGGGCATCGAACTCAGGTCTTCTCGCTTGCGAGGTAAGTGCTCTAACCACTAAACTACAGGACTCCACTTTTGTTTAGACAGTGCACAATCAGTCTCAATGCACGTCAAGTCAGTTCTGCACTGCCGCATGCAAAATAGCGACATGCTTCGAACGTGAGAAATGTATCTATCTCTGCACCGGCTCTCACCTTCTTTAATGAAATGGAAAAACTTTAGTCAGAAGTAACGCATCTTGTGTGAAATGACAAGTTGGTATAAATAAACCTTAAAATGGATTCATTCTGAAATGGCAGGTTATAAATTGGCCTTGACCCACATCCCCTGCCCCCTCCCCCCATTCAATACAAGGTTCTAGAATTTAAAAAAAGTTGTATCCTAACAAATTAAATATTTTGGTATTAAAAAAAAATACAGGGGAAGAGATGACTGAGCAATAATTATAGTTGGTGTAAAGTAATTACAATTAACATCTCATTTCCAAATTTGCAATTTTGTGTAATAACAAATGCACCTAAGGCACTATACAAAACACACAGCATTATTACGTCTTAGTTGTAGGTGTAAATCAATGATAATTGTTGCTTTTGGGTTTTCATTTCCATATCTGCAATTTCAGATCTTTCTACTCAATCAAAAAAAAACATTAATAATCCATCAATTAACAAACAACAAGATATTTTCAAGTGTTTACTGTAAGATACAAACCACTATGATTGAAATAGCTATTATGGTTTATCCCCCAGTTAAACTCTATGCAAAATATCTGATCAAAAAAAATTAAACTTACAGTGATTACATTTAATCTCTCCCTGAAGGGAAAACAGAATAACCTTTTATTCTCTCCTGCTTTCCTTAAATAAGAAAGAGAACATTTTATATGGCAATTTTGACCCTTTGACTTTTAAGGTGTATGACAAAAGTTCACCAAAGGAGGTAGGGCATCTTAATTTGGGTTGCTACACATTGGTTAAGCAATGCTTGTTGATCTGTGTATTAAAACTCAAAATTACCAAATATTAATACTCTTATTAAAAATGTTAATCAATTTGACGATGTTCGATACCTGTGTACACAAAATATCAAAGCTCTATTTTTAACCAATATCAATAAGATGACCAATACCCACCTAATCAATTGCTAGACTGTAAATACCACAATCAGTTTCGGGTGCAAAATAGGATCAACAGGCCATCAGTCTCTCACATGACTTCAGGGTGCGAG